AGGGAGGGGAGATAAAAACCTAATATAAAGATACTTAGATAGAAACCTAAAATCATAATTAAAATCAGATTTAGTACCGTTCCCAGAAAGCTCAGACTCTTAGAACTCTTAGATGCTGACATTTTAAGAGTTACCCCTTTCCCAGAGCAAAAGTACGGTTCTTCCGGAAATGGGGACAACCTCGAGGCTATACTTAAATTTTCGAGCATCCCCGACCTTTTCACCAGGGGGTTCCCCCTGGCAACCCTCCTGAACAAAGGACAAACAACAACAGACCTTTAACTCTGCGGAAGTTTGATCATGAGTGGAACATAAGTCCCCCCAGGAAAGCCCATATAAATGACGATCAACAACGCACCTTGAACTCTGCTGGAAGTTTTGTCAACAACGCACCTTTAACTCTGCTGGAAGTTTGGTCATGAGTGGAACATAAGTTCCCCCGGGAAATCCCCATAGAGAGGACGATCAACAACGCACCCTAAACTCGGCTGGAAGTTTAGTCATGAATGGATATAGGTCTCCCCCACCGGAAACCCTTCAAACAAAGGACAAACGACAACGCACCTTTAACTCTGCTGGAAGTTTAGTCATGAGTGGAACATAGTATCTCTTGAACACTGAGCAAGACTTGTACTGTGACATAACCAACTCCACATCATAATTTCCCTTGGGAGCACCGTCAACCAGGAACCCAAGACTCCTGAACAAAGCGATAATATTCTGCAGCTCCTCTTCATCCAGAAGCGAAGGTATCTAATGAAGTAAATTGTTTAATAAGTGAATTGCTGTTCATAGGATACTCTTGTTACATGGGACACCATCGGGACCGCAATTAGATGTCTGTAACAGCAAGAGTTAGCAATAGCGTGGTGTGATGAAAATGGCCCAGTTATTGGAACTTGTGAAGTGTCGCATATAATGTATACTGCTATACTCTTTTAAAGATTCCAGTTCTTTTTGAAAATTTGTATTGCATATTTCCTTTTGATAGATTAAAATCAAGCAATAGTAAAACAAAAGCTAGTAAAAATTCCAAGACTGCAGGGTAACTATGTCATTCAATACGTCCAAGTTGTCCGTTGTACCAAGAGAAGAACGACAAAAAATTAATATTAGTTTGGGACCACAAGAAGTGTGATGTGAAAAAATTGTTTTACACAATGTAACATGTGCTAAAGATCATCATTCTGACCTGAAAACATAGCGGCACCACTGACTCTCGCACAAGTCCTTTGGTCACTATATCGTCAATAGCTGCTCTCAAGGTCCATTCATTAGGCCGCGCCCCTGTTGGCCAGAACTTTTCCACCTTGCCAGCCTTGACAAACTGAGGGACATATTCACGGGGGTCTGTCTCACAAAGGACCCCTGCCATGCAGTTCAGGAGAGCACTGGGGTCCACACACACTGTTTTACAAGGGCCTTGGTTTGGGTCTTGATAGGATGGTGGAATGTTGAGTACCAAGATGCAGCCCTGGAAAAACATCAACCAATGTTTCACAAGAAAAAAAAAACTTTCCAAGATGTAGATATTGATGGGTCATTATTATCACTACTTAACAGTTGATGTTACAGTCATTTTTGTGACGCTGTATGTTATCATAGCAACAGTATGACCTGCTAAAAACACCCTTAATTTTAGCTTTAAGTACTTTTATTTCAAAAACAGCCTGGTGAAATCTTTCCTCTATTAACAAATTTTGATAAGCAGAAGAGCCACCTTAAATTTGCAAAAAATTAGAGGTGATTCTGAAACAGCCTTAAATGTCACAAATGTGCATAGGGTCAGCATGGCTGATCTTCATTGGCACTAGGCTTTCATTGTAGACGTCTAGGGTGCTGGGATTTAGTTTCAGATGTTCAGGTGCCAAAGACTTTTCCCATACCTTGAACTCTAGCACTGCCGTTGCTTGTTCAATGTCTACCTCTGCAACACCTGCATCTGATGCCAGCTGAAGGTAATGATCCCAGGAAACCAACACAGCATGGTTTTCACGCAACTGAAGAATTGCGCCATAGAGGTAGATAACACTTCGGCTGACGTCTTCTGCTAAATGAGGGAACAACTTGCTGTCCATCAGTGTTTGAGTAACAGCATGTTGTAGTTCTATCATACCCTTGAAAGACAAAAATGACAAATTAATAGAAAGCTCTTTCAAGATCTGGAGATTTATGAGGTTCTTGTACAAAACTAANTACAAGGGCCTTGGTTTGGGTCTTGATAGGATGGTGGAATGTTGAGTACCAAGATGCAGCCCTGGAAAAAAATCAACCAATCTTTCACAAGAAAAAAAAAAACTTTCCAAGATGTAGATATTGATGGGTCATTATTATCACTACTTAACAGTTGATGCTACAGTCATTTTTGTGACGATGTATGTTACCATAGCAACAGTATGACCTGCTAAAAACACCCTTAATTTTAGCTTTAGGTACTTTTATTTCAAAAACAGCCTGGTGAAATCTTTCCTTTATTAACAAATTTTGATAAGCAGAAGAGCCACCTTAAATTTGCAAAAAATTAGAGGTGATTCTGAAACGGCCTTAAATGTCACAAATGTGCATAGGGTCAGCATGGCTGATCTTCATTGGCACTAGGCTTTCATTGTAGACGTCTAGGGTGCTGGGATTTAGTTTCAGATGTTCAGGTGCCAAAGACTTTTCCCATACCTTGAACTCTAGCACTGCCGTTGCTTGTTCAATGTCTACCTCTGCAACACCTGCATCTGATGCCAGCTGAAGGTAATGATCCCAGGAAACCAACACAGCATGGTTTTCACGCAACTGAAGAATTGCGCCATAGAGGTAGATAACACTTCGGCTGACGTCTTCTGCTAAATGAGGGAACAACTTGCTGTCCATCAGTGTTTGAGTAACAGCATGTTGTAGTTCTATCATACCCTTGAAAGACAAAAATGACAAATTAATAGAAAGCTCTTTCAAGATCTGGAGATTTATGAGGTTCTTGTACAAAACTAAAGACGTTTTCTCTATTTTTT